GTGCCCTTCGTTCGCTTCATCAGGATGAAGACTTCGGAGGAACAATGCTTGTCACTCTTCGCTGGGACAGAGTTTGAAACGTGCCCGATGCTTGCCATGGCGCTTGCTCTGCTGATGCAGACCGCGCCACCCCCAAGCGTCATTGACAACCTTTCGGAGACGCCCGACCAAGCTGCGATCTCCCTTTCTCCCGACGGGCCGCTCCTGGAGATGCTCGATCACCCTGCAGACACGACCGGGCTTGGGGCGCCGTCAACAACTGGTGTGGCGACGACCCCTACGGTCTACTCCCACGTGAACCGCGTGCTGGACCGGCTAACCGTAGCTGCAGGAGTCAACGTGCCGCTGACATCTTACTCATTCCGACGTGGTTGCGCGCAGCACGCTAATGGAAGCGGAGAGTTCACAGCGCGATGGACCTTCGACAGAGGAGCTTGGAACATAAGCACGACAAACAAGGGGTTCAACTACATCTTCAACACAAGCAAGGAAAACCACAAGGTTAGCAAGATACTCAGTGGCCACGATGCAGACGCGAAGATGGTGCTCCAGAACTTGGCGTCGTTCGATTCGCATACTCGGTCTGTAATCTCCAGCTTTCAGCATTACCTGTTCAGCACAACCTCCAGGAAGCACGTCACCATGTTAATCAGGTGTTTCTAGATGTGCTCACCTCGACTGTCATTCGCCACTATCCGCTGCTGAAGCACCTGCCGTCAAACGCATTGACACTTGTGTCGCCGAGGCTGGGTGTTCACTGGCAGAGTTGCTGGCTTGGCCGTCGCATCTGGCAATTCCTGAGCCCGCCTGCGAGGAACCCAAGCCACAATGTACAACTCAACCACCCCCACAAGCATTGACACGAAGCGCAAAGCAGAAGATCATCGACCATCAAGCTGCTGTCATTAACCACTTTATCGAGCACGTCAAGCTTCAAAATGCTCGCATGGACGCACTCGAGGCTAAGCTGAACGATCCTACACAAGTTGCACGCAAACGACACAAACAGGAATCGAGCACGAGCGATGTCAGTCAAGCAAGAAAAAAAACGCAGAGGAACAGCTACTCAACTTCATGTTACTTGGTACGCGTGGTACGCTCATGAACCACAGCTTTGGCGGGCACCAATCTCGAGGC